ATATTCTGAGCAATTCTCTAGACATCTTGAATCACACGCCTCAAACTTGGATACTGTTTGGCTAAACAGACATTAAATCTGGTTTAGATTAAGCTTAAGCCTTTCCAAAATCTCAACCCCATTACAAATTTGACTAATTAAAGCCAGGTTCAGGAGTAAGCTGACCAATTTAAATTGGTCAGGAGGAGTGGTTGTCATTTTGGTAAGACTTTCTCAGCTACATTTAATCCATTAAACCTTTAATCCAGCAATAAACAAAAGATTACACATGATTATAAGTTCAGATGAGGCCCGGAGTACCTTTTCTCAGATAACAATCTTTAAGCAGGCATTAACAAACTTTATATAAAAATTTTTTTTTATTAAAATCATATACATGTACCTTTTCAATATAATTTTCACATCTTAAATGTTTTGATTTCATCTGTCTAATGTAGTATATTGTCATAATGAAAGAAATAAGGGCTTAAAAATATGAGTCTGTGTTTAACTAGTAAACAATTTTTTAAGTTTCAATAAAAAAAATCTATTTAATATGAGTGAATCTCTATTGTGAATGATTTTGACCTCAAGAAAATTTGATTGTTTCGTTTAAATTGTAAATCCTTATTTTTTTTTAATTGGTGTAGTTTTAAGTTGCGTTTAAAAAAACAAAAAACAAACTATAAATGCATCAGAAAAAACTTAAAGAACATGGTGTTCCTATCCCTGATGAACGCATGCAAACCTTTGACCTGAGCTGTATTAATTAGAGCCAGGGAAACAAATAGCATGGAGATCAGATGTTATGTTGCTCCTCTCATTGAACTCTCCATATCTCTCACCATCTAGAGCCCCGTCTGTCTGTGTGAATTTATAGAAGAAGCTCCTTCAGCCCACTAGAGCTAAATGTCTGCATTTTTTCTAAAAGGCGGTTCTTTGGTGGAAGCAGCTGCTCTAAGTGGAATGAGGATGATGTGCAGCTGAATATTTCAGCTTTTCTTCTGGAACAAAATAAACAATAGCAGGGAGGAAATGGGTTATTTTGTTGTTAGTTATAACTTGAAAATAACTGTGACATCATATATAACGCTTTTTTTTCATCCTCAAAAACAGATGGCGAAACTTCAAGTTAGAATGTAGACTTATCTCACCATGTGTCTTTATTTATAGGTTGGTAGAAGAAGCAGTTGCTATGGTGTTCCAGTGAAGTGGGAATGAACTGTTATCATGTCTAATGCATGGATTACATCCAGAGGGTGAACATCTGGCAAGCAGGCACAGACAGCCAGACCAGCAGACAATCACTGCAGCCACGGAGCAGTAAAGATGTTGATCTTTGCAGCAACGGGGGCTGATTGCTCGTGATTTGCATCAGATGCAATCACACACGAAATAAAAAAGTTGTTTTACTGCTTGTGTTTGTGTAGAGATATAATGTTTATGTCAGAAAAATAATTCAGCATTACTGTTTAATGAGTGATTATTTTTGGACATTGTTATTTTCTCATTGGGTTTAATTCTCTAGAGACTAAAGCAAATCTGTGTGATTGAAATTTTAACAGCCAAATGTGAAGTTGAATTGTTTTATTTCCCTTAATAATACTCTATCTGATTTTTCTGTTAAAATATATTAACTGGAAAAAATCTATTATTTGAACTTGGGCTGATAAAAGTCTGCATAATAAATTTGCGATTGATCCTTAAAACATAAATATAAGAAATTTTGTTCTGCAGCTTCTGACAATGCTGGATAAGGAGCAGGGTTTATGTTTTGACTAATCAGTGATCAGGGAATCACCAATTTGCCAACTGGTTCTTTGATAGATATGTAAGAAAAATTTTTGGATCTATTATCGCAAATCTATATATGGAGTTTTCAAAATGGTATTGGGATTTTCAGTGGATCCATTTCCCTTGGTCAGCTAAAAATACGAGCCTGTAGGCCTGTTTCTATCTTCCAAATGCATTAGGGACCTTTTTAGAGTTCAACTTCTGGCTGAAACTCTGCTGATCTCTGCCAGCAAACTGAAACTGTCTCATCACTAATTGTCCCAAAATGTATTTTAAACTCAAAGGAGAAATTAAACAAAAAAACAAGCTTTCCCCTGGTCATTGTAGTCTGCAGGCACAGAGGAGAAAATACAGGCAGGGATCCAGGAGTTTGTGCAAAGGTGTCACATCAAACATGAACAAGAGATAATATCATAAATTTGCTACAGTAGAACCAGTAATGAACGTACTCTAATTAATTCTGTTTTTCTGAAATCATTTTTGACAAATTATCAATAAGGCTTTGTGCAAACCTTTTTCAGACATGCCAAAGTGGTCAGTGCCTCATTAACTCAGAAGATAAAAAAATAAACAAATTGTCCCTCTCTTTATCCAGTGTCCCCATCATAAGCAGCCTACTGCTTGGGCCTGACACATCTGGGATATATTGCTCCCTTTGGGCATTGTTTCTCATCCTGTATGCACACACAAGCTCAGAAAAGCACAACTGTGTCCATCAGCTGGAGTCCCATTGCTGTCTACTGGGAGCAGGTACGTGTCGTATCCTGTTCATGTCTTCACCTGTCACATGCCACATTGGGACTACAGTAGTAAAATCAGGAAGCGGGAAATAACAGCAGCATTTTTAGACAGGCAACGCAGAACGAGTTAGATCCCTGATTATTTAAAAAACACAGCACAGGACATTAACAAGGACATTTTTTTTTTTTTTTTTACAAATTTTCTACCCATTGTCTCTGGTTCATTAGTTGAAGAATTGATGTAGCTCAATGTTATTGTGCAAGTTAGGCCATAAATGTAGGAGCATTGGTACAATGGCTTTCTTTATTCCTAAAATGATTGCACAGCAGGGGAAAGAAATGCTTGCCGCAGCTAAAGTGGTCCATGGAGCAATGGTGCATTATAATAAATTGTACTTTCACAGCTCAGTAAAGTAACATGTAGATTGATGGAGCACATTCATCACCGTGCTAAATTACCTCTCCTTTCACACTAATCCTAATGTAGAAGAATATTTCAAGCCAAGTCAGAAAAATACAGATTTTTAGTTTTAAAAGAACTGATTATGAACCGAAACCATAGCTCAGCAGTTACAGCATGTTGCTCCATTGATACACTCCTGAAAGATGTTACCAACCAAATAGGCTTTGAGCACAATGCATTACACAGCTGGCCACTATGTGTTAAAGTCTCTGACCTAGACATTTTAATCCCTGCCCAGACATGTTGAAAAACCTCCTATGGAGCAAGATTATTAACTGTAACCTTAAAAAAAAAAAAAAAAAATATATATATATATATATATATATATATATATATATATATATATATATATATATATATATATATATACAGGATGAATGAGAGAAAAAGACACAAACAACTGATCCACACAGCATAGTGCACAGAATTAACTATCCAAATTTGTCTTATTAGATTGTGACAGAAGTTTTTTAATATTGATGCGACTGTGCAAAAGACAAAATAATCAGTTTCATCTTAACCAAATGTAAGTTTAGGTTAAAAGTGCTTACCCTCAGTTGGTTCTAGTCATGCAATTAAAATTACAATTTTACCTACATACTCAACAATGTTTACAAGACGACTCAGGTGTTTCACTCCATTGCCTCATGTCGTCTATTTGACACTCCAGGTATAGTTAAGGCCAAACTCATACATATGTGTACATTTTAAATTTTTATTATTTTCATTTAATAAGGCAGTTATTTTTGAACAGGAAATAAGGCAGTCATCTCTGAAAGATATGAAATTATGTAAAAAAAGATCAAATCTTTTACTGAAAAAGCAAACCTAAAAATGGTTTATATTCTAAATCTGAAGTCACGTTTACCAAATATTTTCCAGATTTTACTAGGTTTTTTTTTCATGACATAGAAATCTGACGGATAGCAATTCATGCCCTGATCATTTCATGGCATATGATATAATGATTAGCTGTTTCAACCAGATTTCCTTCTGCTGAATTAAGTCCATGCTGGGTTAGGAAACCTTCATCTCACTGACTTCTGATAACCTCATTTGGTGAAAATTCACTGGGTGTGAATGTGAAAATCAAAATGTTAAATTATAATCATTCAGAAAAATAAGCTGACAGTTAAAAATAAATTATGACAGAATTTTGTTGAGTTTGTCAGTGAAAATCAGAAACAGTTAAAAAGTGTAGCACAACCTCTGCACTTAATACCCAATGGAGGTAAAAAATACTAACTGGCATTAAGGGAATCAAATCTTTAAAAGGTTTCTACTCGTATAAAGAATTTCCCTTTTGAAATAAGCACCAAGTATTTGAGTCTGTGCAGCTTTTTGCCATTACCCTTTTCTTTAATCTTTCACCCCAAAGATTCTCTCTTACTGGATTGTTGACTTCGGGTTAAAGTAATTTAAATTTTTATAAATATTTTAGCTTTAAAACTAAAGAACAACCTGTTATGATTCTATTATAAACTATCGAGTTATTTTTTTAATACCAAATGATTTCTTTCAAAAAAATTTTTTATGTTGTTTTGTTTTGCAGAAACAAGAAACAAAAATTTTCCAAATCTACAGGTTCTTAAATATCAACCAAAATTCTTTTTTAGATGTTTTTCCTTACACTACATATTGTAGAATAAATTATGGATACTATTAAAAAAGTAAAAAATTTCTGCTGTTTGGAAGTTGGAAGATTTTCCAAATTTCTCCTACAGACCTGGTCACTGGCAGGCACCACCTCTGAACTGCAGCCAGACAATAAACCATGACTTCCAAACTCCTGTCCTGAAACTTTTCGACAGGATCTTCCTCAGCAAACTCTGAACTAAATAGTTTGGTAATTAGCAGCAGTCAGTAGAACTTTGTCATGCTGGAAGCATTTCTGGGAAGCATTGAACCCCGGACACGCATCTAACACACATTTGTCACCAAGGACAGGTGTTTCAGAGCCCTGACCTAAACAGTCTTAGGCTGTAAATAATTCATGCCTTATGCTAAAGTGCTTGCTCTCTTACCAGGCAGGTCACAGCCAAGAACCTCCATCCTCATACCGATGCCAGCAGGTGACCATCGCTCTGGAAAAACTCTGATGTGCTGGGCGACAATCTCGTCAAACCTCCTCACTTCTGGAGTATCATAATGGCTGTTCCCCTCAAAGATCTGAGTAAACACATTTAGAGATGATGTCATTCTTCAAGATTAAAAAAGCTTTGTCCAAAATCATTTTTAAAAGTGTCATTTCACATTATGCACGGATGTTGCAATTCCAGTTTTGGGCAATACTGACACTGCACTGCAAAAACAATCTTGAAACTCCTAAAACTAAGTGTATTTGCCAATGGAATGAGTATATTTACTCCTCAAGTAAGATAATTAGATATTATGCACTTAAAATAAGACAGTGCAATAGTTTTTTCTTATTTTAAATATAAATTGTCCTGTTCTATTGGCAAAGTGTCTCACTTACCTGCTCAATACAAGAAAAAAAATCCCTTATTTTAATCAAAAATTACTTAATTAGATTTCAATTTTTTGCAGTGTGAGCCTGAATGTTAGAAAACTCAAGGAAATACAAACATATTACTATTTTCTATTTAACTCTCACCGACAAAGGAACAGTAAGCCTGTCTGAAGTCATACAGCAGAGCTAATCAGCATTGTTTCTCATCTCAGTGTGACATGTGTCATAAAAAATAACAAGTGTGTTCCTTTTGATTTTCAAATATTCTTTGAGGCAGCAGCAGCCTCTAGCAAAGGAAAAGAAAAGAGGAAAAAATAGGGTTTATTACAAACCTAGAGCTAGACAAGACTAGACAAGACTACTATTGGTTTCATGGATTAAGTTGTATTTTCTGCCTTTAAGATTTCTAAACTAAAAGGGAAAAAAAACTTAGATGATTTTCCCAGGATGCTCATTTAAAAAGACAGCCAGATGAGAGCGAACAGGATTTTTAACATCAGTTGAAAACCCCGGCAGTAGTAGAGCTATTAAAGCATTTTAAGACAGTCTCAGAAAGGAGAATGAAGAGCCCTGTCTCATGGTGCGTTAGACTGCCAGCAGTGTTGAGTAGTGATGCAGAAAAGACATTTTTAATTAACACCCATGAGAGACAAATAGGGGATGAGTGAACAAGTGGAG